CAGGATAGAGCAGGGTTTAGGGCTGTTGTGCATAGGGTCACTATGAGTCGGAAACGACTCGACGGCACATAACAACAACAACAACAACAACAACAACTATGACTTTAAAATTAAAATATACAAAAGCAAATTCCACTTGTTAATTTCTACTACTGCTGTTGTTATAGTTAATTTTTGATTCTCAAAGAAGAAATATTAAAAAGGATTGTGGAGTGAGGTTAACTGGATTAAAGTATTATGACTGAAATCTTCTTTAGAATAGCCACATCATTGTAATAATAAACAAAGTCTAGTGCTCACTGAGTTCTGGTGGTCTAGAGGATAAGGAGTAGTAGTGCCAACCTAAAGGCAGGAAGTACAAATTTACCACTTGCCTGCAGGAGAAAGAAAGGCATTTTCATCGTGTGTAATTTACAGTTCTCTGAAAAACCACTGTGGTCCAGCTACAAGTTGGTTCCAATTTGACGGCACAAAAAACCAGCAGCAGCAATGCATAATGTTCTGAAATTATCCCCTTGAATTTCTAAAACTCATTGGCAACAAAAATGAAGAAGATATCTGGGCTCTGTCACTTTCCTGATGCCACTCCTTCTGTAGGCCATCCTCACCAATGGCTACTATGTCTTTTATCAAGATTAATCTTGGATATATCAGGCAGCTCCACCTCATACCACTGTGAAGCCTCATGGGACACTTTACATAAGAAGGGTTGCACAATGCTGAAAGTCTGGGCTTTGGAATTATAGAAAGCAGATATAAATCCTAATTCTGCTACTTTCTTTATGCCACTGAATAATTTAGGCCCTTTGAGGTTCAGTCTCCCAGCTCGTCAAATGGAGGTTCTAATAATGCCTGATATATGAATGGTAAAGATAAAATGCGGCCATGTGTAGTAAGTGCCTAGCAGAGCACTCAGCGACGTCTATCCTTTTTGTCATTTTTATCCTTATTGCCATATTTCTATTAAAGAAGGTGTTTCTCTCTGTCTTCTCTCCCTCTCCCCCTTCACTCTCTCTCTCTCTCTCTTTCTCTGTGTGTGTGTGTGAGAGAGAGATAGAGAGGTTGAGAATGCAAACAAGAATGAATAGATGGATGATGGATGGATGGACAAACAGTAAAAAACAAAACAAAACAAAAAACCCACATAAAACCAGATAGTTTCCAGAGCCCCAAACTTATGTTGAAAGCAGATAGGTTCCAGAGTCCTAAACTTATATTGACCATCCCACTCTTTCTACTTAAAGAATGTGGAATGTTCAATCAGCATCAAACCAATTAATGTGTTTCAACAAAGAAAATTTATTAAAAAAACTAAACAAATATGTAAAATCTCATTTGGTAAAAATGATCTGCCCAAAAATTTAACAGAGCCACTGACTTCTCTTTCATCGTCCACACAGGTACCACTCAGGAAGGTCTGGCCTCTTAAAAAGGGGATATAAGATCATATAACCAATAATAGATATTTCTGCAAATTTTTGTAATAATGTTTGAAAAATATCAGTAACAAGAACAACCACCAAAAAAATATCCAAATATTTTATTACCATATTTATATATATGTTCCTGGTCATCTTCCCACAGGTCTTGTCCTGGTCTTCCTTTCCTTTCCATTTCTTCCAAGGCAGTTCTCACTTTGCTGATTCTTGAATTTTCTTCTAGAGTTGAAAAAATGGTTGAAGATGAGATTTTGTTTTCCATCTCAGTTCTCTTTGGTATCAGGTACATCTTACCCTTCCTCAGCTTCCCCTCTCCCTTCTTCAGTTCCTCTCTTTTCTCACTATCTTCTTTTCTAGCTTTTGAAGCTTTTTTGTCAAGCCCCATAGCAATGATGCACCTATGGAAAACATTGGCATAAAGTGTTCATTAACCTTATATATAGCACTTTGGAACCACAAAGCTTCTAAAATGACTTATTCTAGCATGAAAGTTTATGTAAAATAGTTTATTATGGTACACATAGGTTAATTAAAAAGAAACTGTTTTCACTTTATTGATACTAAAATCTGGTAAATGAGCACAACAAAATTTTAATAACTTTATATACAATAATAAACAAGAGAACAAAATACCAACCAAGAATTATAGCCTTAAAGTAAAAGCTGTGCTTTAAAATATGTCTGTAATTTCTATCAGAGTTCAACACACATTATCATTCAAGTTCTTAAATGCAAATTTTATGGTAAAGGAATATTCAGGTTTACAAACACAGGCAACTAACTATATTAAAACAATCAGAAGAAGAAAGATGCTCATTCTGTCTTTGATAATGTTTTATTCTAAGAACACTAGTTGTTTTTTTCTTAAGGCATATGTATGAGAGAGACTCTAAATAAATGTGATTGATTTTTTCAGAAACATATGCAGTCAAATATTGTGCCCTTTAAGTAAAAAAATACCCTAGGAATCTGCACACATATTTTAATAGACCTGTCATTATTGCTTTTAGAGTGGCCTTTCAAAGCCTGTACTGCATTCTCTTGATAATTTTCCCCTGCAATAAATGTTTGTTCTTTGAACATGTTAGTGATTTTAGGGGTCAAACAGTAATTCAAAGTCAAATTTGGAGTGCCAACTAGATAATATGAATGATGATATTTGAAGAAAAAGATTTTTAAATTAGTTATCATAAAAATGAATGTAGACAAATTATCTCCTACATAATTTCCCATATCTCAACATACAAATAAGAGTTATAATAGTAAGTATACTAATAAGATAATTCTTTTTTATCATTTTAAGGTTTATTAAGAACTTATTTGTACCAGATTTCTTGCTAGGGGTTCATTTCCCCACAGACCAATTAACCGAGGCTTCATTTCACAAATGACAAAATTGAGGCTTAAATAGTTCTAGCACATTTCCAAAGTCACCAAAAGTTAGGTAGTGATGGAGCTACTTCCAGGCTATCAGACTCCGTTATCTCAAACTGTGCCCAAGCATCTGAAACAGTGTCAGCTATACAAAATAAGTTGCTGTCAAGTTTACTCCATCTCATAGGGAAGTGTATATGTCAGAGTAGAACTGTGCACCATAAGGTTTTCAGTGGTTGATTTTAGGGAAAGAGAACAACAAACCAGCTTCATCAAAATAAAGAAAGTCCAGACTTTTTTCCTGAGGTACTTCTGGGGAACCCTGAACCTCTAACCTTGTATTAGCAGCTATGCAATGCTCCCAATCATCCAGGGACTCCTCAGACTGACTCACAACCACGTTATCACTTTATAACAATAGTAGATCTTAGGATGACTGACTCCACCGATCACCGCTACTACCAGCCTTACCAACAGAGGCAATGCCCACATTTTCACTTTTATTAGAAACTAACACAATCCAGAGAAGCTTCCATGAAACAAAGGTTTGGAGCTAATTCTTGCCGTGTAAAAGGTATCTAAGAGTTACCTAAAGTAACTCTAAAGAGTTAACAGTCTCTGTACTGTTCCTTCTCTGAAACTACAAATGTCCCTTACTATCAGAGAACTGAGATAACTATACTAGGCAGCTGGAAAGGATTAAAATATAGTCAAGACTTGTCAGTCTAAGAGGAAAAGGAATAATATTAAAAATCTGAAAATTGCCAAAACATGTACCAAATCTAATGGCAACTTCTTAACCTGTATAATCCTCTACATTTCAACTAACCCCAGGCTAGAGAAAGCATAGTGACTGATCTTAATTCATCCTCCACACAAGCAAATATGAGAACTTAGTTATATAAGGTTTCTTTTCACTCAAAGTAACCATCAGGATTTTAAAAATGAGATAATAAAAATACATCCACCTCATCTCATGCAAAGCATGATAAATATTTCCTGACTTAAATGATGATGCACTTAGCACACTGCTTCCCTTGAAATAAAGGTGTCATGAATCTTCACAGAATATGATTACTGGCGTTGCCTTCTGTTCAAGCTGTTCTTCCCTTATCAATGGCAACACCAAATCCATCGATTTGGAGACTGTGATATGCTGTTACTTTTAGTTTATGTTGTGACTGAGTAGAAGCTTTGATGCTTCCCTACTGCATGCACAGACTTTTTATTGCCCATCTGCTTAAGGGAATTGGACAAACAAAGTGAGGAACATCTGTGCTCTCCTCGTCACTGACTACCTATTTGACTTCTGAGTATAATTTGAGGTGTTGATTCTGATTACTAAAGCTCAAAACAATCTGCATGCTACTAGGCTAGAGAATTCTTCCTGTGTCTCACTGCAGCAACTACTATCATGAAAAGTATTATCATGCTCTTCAAACAGTCCCCATGATTGAAGGGAAAGACAATTGTGAAACTTCTCCTCTTTGGAAATGATCACTACTAAGACTTTCCTTGTTCAGGACCTTAAACAAGTTTTTTCAGATAAATTTTTAGAACTAAAATCCCCTGCTGTTTGTTTTTACCACACTGTTCTAAAACATTCTAGAAAGCAATGCTTTTTTAATTTTTTTTTACAGAGGTTTTGGATTTCTATTCATTCATTGCCGCAATTTTCTCCCTTCCCACCCCTCCCCACCAGCTCACTTGCCCCTCCAAAGAGAGAAAAAAAAAAGAAAAAAAATTCCTTCATTAGTATGCAGTTCCCACGTCCCTTCGCCCCACCCCCCAACCCGAGTACACTTCTCTATGCAACCTTAATTCTGGATTCCTGTGCTAACCATAATACTCATTCATATATCACCTCTAATCTGTTCTTTCCCTCATCTGTTTCAATACAATATACATAATTTATCCAGTTTTTTTTCTGTCATACCCCCACCCTGATGTCAGGCCCATTCTACAACAGTGGCACCATGCAGTATTTGTCGCTTTGTGACTGAGATATTTCACTCAGCATAATGTCCTCCAGGGTCACCCACTTTGAATAATATTGCATGAGTTCCTTGTTTTTCAATGCTGAGTAGTATTCCATTGTGTGGATATACCACAGCTTCTCTATCCATTCGTTTGTTAATGGGCCCTTAGGCTGCTTCCAACTCTTTGCTATTGTAAACAAAGCTGCAATAAACATGGGTGTGCATATATCTGCTTGGATGGCAGACATGGTCTCTCTGGGGTATATTCCCAGTAATGGGATTGCTGGGTCAAATGGTATCTCTATTTGCAATTTTTTGAGAAAGCGCCATACTGCTTTCCACAGGGGTTGCACCATTTTACACTCCCACCAACAGTGAATCCGGGTTCCAGTTTCTCCACAACCTCGCCAGCATTTGTTGCTTGCTGTTTTGTTATATTTTGCTATTCTTACTGGGGTGAGATGATATCTCATAGTTGTTTTGATTTGCATCTCTCTTAGAGCTAGGGACTTTGAACATTTCTTCATGTGCTTGTTGGCCATCTGAATGTTGTCTTCAGTGAAGTGTCTGAGAAAGCAATGCTTTTAAATGAATTAACATTCCTTTTATTTTGAACAAACTAGAGGAATTAATATCTACCCCATACGTAATCAAAAGGAACACTGGTCACAGTGGTTAGCACATTAACTGCTAACTGAGAAGTTGGTAATCTAAACTTACCACCAGCTTTCTGTCACAAAAAGATGTGGCACTCCATTTCTGTGAGGATTATAATCTTGGAAACTCTAGAGGGTAAATTCATCCTATCCATTGTTGTTAGGTCCAAGGTCCAGTCAAGTATGACTCCTAGTGACTCTATAAACTACAAATCTGAATACTCTCCTCTCCTGTGCCATCCTCTCAATCTCTGACATATTTGAACCCATTGCTACAGTCGCTGTGTCAATCTATCTTGTTGATGGTCTTCCTCTCTTTCATCAATCCTCCACATTTCCAGGCATAATGCTGCTCTCCAAGGAATAGTAACATGCCTAGCCACATGGCCAAAGTATATAAAATGAAACGTCATCATCTTTGTCTTCAAGGAACACTTCAGCTCCTCCTTCTCCAAGATACACCTGTTTGTTCTTTTGGCAGTCCTTAGGATATTCAACACCACAGCTCAAAAGCATCGGGGTTTTTTTCTGTCATCCTTATTCTTTGTCCAGCTCTCAGACGCATAGCAAGGGATTGAAAAAACCATAGCTTAAATCAAGTGCACCTTAATCCTCAAACTCACATCATTGTCGTCAATAATTTGAAGAGGTCTGATTGCCGACTTTCCCAGTGCAATACATCTCCTGACTGCTGGTATCAGGGGTGTTGATTGTGGATTTAAGTAAGATAAAGCGGTTGACAAGGTCAGTTTTTTCTCCATCTATTGTGATGTTACCTCTTAGTCCAGTTGTGAGAATTTTTGCTTTCTTGACATTGAGATGCAAAACATTTTGAAGGCCATATCCTTTAATCTTCTGCAGCAAGTGCTTCAAGTACTTCTCACTTTCAACAAGCGAAGTTGAGTCATGAATAACACAGGTTATTGATGAGCCTTCCTTTGATTCTGATGTTATATTCTTCTTAATAGAGTCCAACTTCCTGCCTTATAAAGTTGCTATTAGCTGGAATTGACTTAAAGATTAATGTGGATGTGACTAAGAATAGGTTGTAGAATATTATACATAAATCTTATATATCTCCATAGGGAAAATTCTTAAAGTTCTTCAGTTCTGATCCCTCGGGGATAACCAAATTATAACTGAGATGAGGGCCAAACAAGTTGAAGTATACTAGTCACCTTCCCTACCTATCCTTTCCCCATCTGAACCAGCATGGATCATGTGATCTCAACCAGGGAGGCATCAAATGACAGTTTCAGCATTCATAGATTTCATTTGAAGAACTGGTTATTAAGACAATAAAAAAATGGAAATTCATTGCCTTATGAAAACCGCATTTTATTAGAAAATAGGGAATATTACTCTTTAAGATCATAGCCCTTTGTTGAAACACTGAAGAAAGGAGTTAGAGGTGACCAAGAAATGTTAAATTATTAAACTATAAAAAGAATTGTAAGAGGTTTGGAAATGTTGGATAGGAGTGATTATGTCATTAATCAGATTGTAATATAGATTTATAAACCTCCAAGTTGTTTTGTCATGTGTCATTGAGGGGCAACTGACTCACAGCTGACCCACTATGGAGGTTTTGGAAGTTGTAAATAGTAGAAGAGAGATTGTCTTCTTTCTCCCTTAGAGCTGCTGGTAGATTTGCATCACCACACAGCGACCACATTTGGATTAGCAGGAAAACTCTTGTGCCACCAGGGCTCCCTGAAAGCAGCTTTAGCTAAGTCCTAAATACAGTTGGGAGCTCCTACTTTAGGTGAGTCATTATATTAGTTGTTGTTCTGTCAAGTAGCTTGTGACTCATAATGACCCTATGTACAAGGGCTCTAAATCCTGCTCTATCCTGTGCCAACCTCATTGTCACTGACACACCTATTCCCACTACACCAATCACTGAATTGATCCATATCACGGAGGGTCTTCCTCTCCTGCACTGTCCCTCCACTCTCTCAAACACAATGTCCCTCTCCAAGGACCAGTTCCTCC